AAAATTTATTCTTGCTAAATAAAATAAATTGAAATACGGTTTCCCATTCACTTGAGTAAATTTGCCTGTTCCAGCTGCTAAAAGCTTAATGTTGCTAGATGGCGTTTTCTCAAACTTCAGTGGGCCCTAAAGAGAAAATGTTGCTAAAAGTATTCAACATGATTCAATATATCTTCAAACGAGGTTAGTTGCCCTCTACCTTCACAAAATTTAATTAAATGCCACGAATTCCACTTTTGGACGGTTTCACAGCAGTTGTATAGAGTTTCATAAGGAAGGTTGTTTCCAGGTTTAAAAAATATTTCTGAGTTTGATAGGCTCAGTTTAAGGACAAAGCTCGAACCAAAAGATGCCGTTTGCACAAGACAAGGAAATTTTCTGAATTAAATGTCTTTGACTGAAAGATTCTCAACTTACTGCACTGTGAAGTCTGTCATGCAGTATACCGCTCTGATATATATAGAAGCACTCCCCCCGGAGCACTCCATTAAGTACTGACAAAACCGTCATTAAGATCAGTTAATGTTACAACTTTTTTACCTGGTTTGTTTTAATGTGCCTCTCTACGCGTAAAATACTGGTTACTATATACGTACTGCGACAAAATTCTCTTGATAAACTAGATTCACATTGGCCGTAGATCTATTTTTCTTTGTGTTTTCCTTGCCTAATGTCACCGAATAAAAAGTTTTGAAATTTTCGTCTTCTTACAAACAGTAAATGAAAAGGAGAGGATATGCTGCAACTAGAAAACTTTAATTCGAGTCACACCTTAAGGTTTTTCATGGCAGTTTCCTGAACAATAGAGTAAGGAATTTTCAGTGAAGAAAATAAAACGTACCTTTCCTCTACGTCTCTGAGTCGTTTTACGATGTCCGAAAAGTTAAAATTCGCTTTTGTCTTTATTGCTTTTCGTCCCCGGCTCAACGAAGAGCGTTTTTGGCGTATTTCAGCTTCATCAGCAGATACTCGATTGGGGTTGGGATTGGCGAGTCGTTCTTCAAGCGCCCGAGTTTCATACTTGGCGGATATGTCAGCAGCAATAGCACAGAACATCGCCAGCTTTAGAGCCTGTAAACGCATCCCTGTACGATACGTACCGACAACGGATAATTTCATCGATCGCAAATAGCCTATGAGCGTCTTTTTTACAGTACTGCCTCGGACAGCGCACTTTAGAGAAAATTATTATCAAGAGTAAGTCACGTCGATTTCAGAGGGTGAAACACTGATAAGAATCGAGAATTTATTCTCGTTTGTGACGTAGCAACATTGTGCACATCGGAAGTCAACGGAATGTCAAGATCCTTGAGTATCACACTGCTTAGTAGTTCCTGTCTCCAAGCGGAAGTAAGAGTGTGAACTGTTACGAGCTGCTATCATAAAATAAATACCCCATCGCCTTAAACTTTTAAGAAAACAACCGAAAAAGCAAGGTAGTTAATCAAAATAAGTCAAGTTAGGTTTATAACTCTTCAAATTTGTTCTATTTATTACATGCCAGAATAAGCTAAAATTTTTGCGGGTTTCTCAAAGTAAACATGGATACTTTGCTTTTCAATTGATTTACTGACAATTCAAACTGATTATGCATGCTACGACTGCTACTACGGCAAAGGAGCAAAGTAATTCTGCCATTACTCATGACAGACACTCATTTAACTTAACAAACTTACGATCTACGCCTAAGGATCTAATACACTTGCCAGGACAGTCACTAAAAGTACAAAGTTTCTTTAAAGAATTCTTCTTTCCCACTCTCTGAGAAATCACTTTTTCTTCTACAGTATTATGATAATTTACCTGAGATCAACTAAACGGTTTTACAAACAAAGTTAGCACGTAAAACATGTGAAGGACCGAAGCTGAGTGCCGTCAGTGAGAACTTTTACAAAAGCACGTTTTAATATGTCGAGTGAATAAATCACAAAACCTGGAAAAAAAAAAAACCTTCAGATCGGAGCCGAGAACCAATAACAGTCAAAACGGTTTCTAAAAATAATCATTCAGTATAGATCGACTCTTTGGAGAGAGTAAAGAGTCAAGCTGAAGTGTCTCTTTAGATAAATCCGTTATGGCGGGAATTCATTCCAGTAGAAGTATTGTGCTTTTTTGTAGCAGGGGGAGGAAAAAACTGGAGAACCTCAAGAGAGAAACCTTAGAAGAGAGCCAAGTCAACAAGACATTCGAATGTCTGAACTGATTCAAAGCGCAAGTCTGTTATAGTCTTATAAAGGGTGCGCGGGAGCGGGACTTAGAACGAGCATTATAGTCGAGCGGTCCATTGCCTTCAACCATCTGCGCCACCCATCCGTAGGTCCAGTGGATACAGTATACTGCAACTTGTTTCCGTAAATCATTTTAAACATAGTTTTTACATGCGGCGAGACTCAGTGGCAAATCCCTATTCATAGCCGAATACTCTATTAAAGAGAAAACAAATGTTAATGTTATTCAGCTCGCCCAAGAGTCTTACTTGTCGTTTCGAGCCACAATTTACCTGATGACTCGTCGCAACGCACAAATGGGGGGACACCCGGTGCCTCGGGGGTACATCCTGTAATGGCTTATGCGGAAAGGCTCCGGCGGAAAGGAGTACCTTTTTCAGACTTCAAGTATATGAAAAATGTAATTCACATACGTATCAATCTCTCACCCCAGGGCTTTTCACCGCCCCCAGGGAAAGCCCTGGACGAGGCTAATTACATGTATCTGTCGATAATAAATCGCAGATAGTCGAAATCAAAACTGTTTTCCCTTCTTCGAAAGTAACTGTTAAGAAAGTTCAATATTATTCAATTAGTTAAGGCTAACCGCTTGAGGGCGGCACTCAGGCGAAGGAAAAAGCCATTGGAACAGCTGAATTCACTGGTTTGTGCAGTTCCTTAGTTAGGCGCCAGGTCCTTGTTTGCGTTAGTGATTCTTTAGTGACTGTTCCACTGAACTGAACTCAGTTAGAATTGACAGAATGCTTGCCCTAACAATTAAGTACTTGCGGTTTTCTCGGTGTACTCAAGATATTATGTTGAATGTCGATACGTTTACACAATGTTTACATTTACAGACGTCAAGTCAGTTATCTGCCAACACTGAGATAACTAACTTATCTGTAGGTTGCGCTGATTTCCAAAATTAAAAATGTAGACTCTTAGCCAATGAAAAGACAGACAGTGAGTGACTTTAATTTTAGATACATTTTCGAATCTAATTGTAAATCGCTTTATTATCATTTTTAATGACGAGACAGTTTCTGTTGTGCAATGAAGCTAAGATGATGTGAACTTTCGCGTGTAAGATAAACTCAACAAATTGCCCTGTTCCCAATGTATGGATTTTCATAGTTCATGGGTTTTAATCGCGTTGAAGTTAGCCCCGAATTTTTATCGGGTTAAATTGCACTAGCTTCAATTGCGATTACAAATGTGACAGCCATATTTTCATTTAGAGTTTTTGTTATCTTCATAGAGACGACTCTGAGTTCATTGTCTTGAAGCTGAAAAAGAACTTACACTGTCTTAAGCCTTAAACGCGAGCAGTGTCTCTTTGCTAACAGCTTAATCTCATTCTAAACAATTTCCTGCTGTCAGGTCGAAACAGTGATGTAGATAATTACATTGGGTGTCCTGTGACCCAGATAACCTGCGCAACTGTGCAACATCATCTTATGGTCAATCAACGTTCAACTTCTCTACAGAATGTCTCGGCAAGAAAGAGGAAAGAAAATGTCCTTCGAATTAAATAGATACTTGACCATTTCCTCACCAAAGGCTCGGAGTACAATTAGTAATGGTAACAGGACTGAGTGGAGTCCAATTCGGTCTGTAATCATACGAGTGATTAACAAAATCGGACGACCGGGTAGCGGGAGTCCGATTTGTTTAATCACGAGTATGATTACAGACCGAATTGGACGACACAAAGTTTTGTTACCAATTAATCATAACTTTAATAGGCTATTTTTTAAATCAAAACACAAGAAATTCGAAATTTTGTTTTGCTAGCAGTGAAAAAAAAAACCCATTTAAGCGCGCGCGTGATGGCGCGTACTGTCCAATTACCGTATTTATTCGATTAACCGCCCTGGGGGCTTATTAAATTTTTGCATCTTGAGGGTGGGCGCTTATTCGAGGCTGGGCGCTTATTAAATTTTCATCATTTTCAGCAAGTGTAGTATGTTTATTTTGCAACAAAACAATAAATGGTAATAACAAAACGCGAAGATGTAACAAAGCAAGGTGTCTGTAAAATACTCTGAACAAAACTCCGTCTTCGGAGAAGTCTCTAATTAGTACTTATTCAGTTTTTTTTATCGGGCTGTGAGGGGGAAGGGGAGTGGGTTTTGGTTGTGGTCGCTTACTTGAGTTTGAGTGGAAAGGGGAGGGGTGGGCGCTTATTCGAGGCTTTGCGCTTATTAACTTTTTCTGCCTCTAGGATGGGCGCTTATTCAAGGTGGGCACTAATTCGAGGTTGGGCGCTTATTCGAATAAATACGGTACTTAGGCATGAAGCGTACTGTCCTATTAAACTGTCCAATTAAGGATGAAATCAGGACATTTGATAGCCAATCAGATTTGACAATTTTGTTATGGTTATGATTAAAATCAAAATTATATAGCCGAAATTGAAAGACACTGCACTTTGGGTGGCTGCATAATAGCAATATTTGTGGTGTATTCAATAACGAATATGCGTTCATTGATGTACTTAAAAAAATCTATAATTTGCGGCGTATAAGGGTCAAAGTATTTTGAAATGCTTTTCTTCCTTGATTTCGGACAAGGTAAAAGGATTTACGAGCTTGAAGATTCCCAGCGAAGCATCATATTGTTTTTTCTGACTGATTATCTTTTATTTTTATTGTTTTTACTTGTACATGTAGCTCGTGTTACGCTACAATAGACTTTCCTTCACGTTTTTTTTAAACTTAATGGCGTATTATGATATTTCAAATCAAATATAATTATCCTTTTTTGAAGTTGCAGCTCATTGTAAGCCCCTCATCACTTGGTACACACAGCGCATGTCAACTCTCGACCGTTGACATAAGGAAGACACGGGAGTGAGCCACAAACACCTTCCACAGCGTACAGCAAAGCACCATTTTTGTCGGCATGGCTACCAGAAACATACTCCGGATCCCCATCAACACAGACGAAATCACTTGAATGCCCGTGGTTATGAAGAGCAGTCATCAGGTACCCATGATACTCCTCGGTCCAGTCAGATGGGCAGTCATTCCTAGCAGGCATCATCAGCATTGAGCCACGTGACTTGACGAAGCAGACAACGCATGGCGCATCATGGTTGTGAAGATTTTTCTTAAAAGGGTCGCCGTTGTAATCACTCACTTCATATTCAGTGCCGTACACGAATCCGGCATGCTGATGGCCATTTTTGTACTTGTCATATTTTGGATTGTGTGGAAGGCAGAGGTAATTCGCCCCACCACCATGGTGATTGTAGTGCTCTCCACCCATTATACCTAGTGCCAGGAGCAAAATTAACTTGATTAATAACTCGATATTACATCCCGAATGGCCGTAAAAAACGATCTAGTGCAATTCTTTTTTCATGATTGTTTAAAAGATAGGGAATAAAGTTGTCTGGAAAGAGAGAGCAGAAAAGACGTTAAATGTAATAAGCTTAATAATACTGGAAAAGAATTGCTCGATATAGAAATATTCGCTAATCACTCTACATCTTAAGAACCTATTTGCATTGACCAGTAGAGTGCAATAACCCTTACTATTTGGATGACCCTTCTCTTACCTTTATAAACTACCTGAGCGCCACTAGGACATGTGGTTCTTCCCCAGCGAATGTACTTCACCCCTGATGTCCCAGATCCATCCTGTCCCTTTTCTCCTTTTGCACCCTGTGGTCCCTGGGCTCCAGTCTTCCCAACTACTCCCTGGTCTCCTTTAGGACCAGGAGGGCCTGGGAATGGCTTGTTGATTCCAGGTTTTCCCGGGTCCCCTGTGAAGAATAACCTCATGCTGAGCACTCAACAACGTTATTGGGTATTTCATTGCCAGAAAATTTAATTTAATTAGATACGAGCGCTTTTAATTTCTAAGTTAGGTGCCATGGAGCCAGCTCGAAAACTATTGCTTTTTCCCTCTTGTGTTTTGGTGTGGGTATTATTTAGTGTCTTTTCTATCTTTTGCATGAATTACGTCATTTGGTGATTAACCCGTTTCCAACACTAAGAAAGAAACAACGGATAATTTTACCTTTAGGTCCTGATGGTCCAGTAGCTCCAATTTTCCCGGCTAGTCCAGCTGGCCCAGGTGTCCCAGGAGGCCCAGGGGGACCAGCTGGTCCAACGCGCACCTTTCCCAGGGTACTTTGACGATGCTGACCTGAAATACACCAAGAACGGATGAACGCCAAGCACACAGCCTTAATTGATTAGGTTAACCCACTCACAGCCGCTAATTCTTGGTTACTTATAATATCTAAAACAATACTACTTAGTTATAAATAACTCAGTTTTTTTAACCTTCGTGAAACTACTGTTTTTACTTGTTTGTAACAAAGTCACGTTTCTGATTATTGGAAACAGGAACCGAGAAAAGCAGTACGCGGTTATCCTTCCTTAGTACACTTTTTTTTCTTTCGTCTGGATTAACTTAACTGTCTAGTTTGTGAAATCAGAAACACAAAGCAATAACACCGAGTAAGACATTTTTTCAAGCGTTTTTAAAAACCTCATCTTCAATATACCAACATCATTAAAGAAACCGAATCAAGAAAGAAAATATGGACCAGTAATCGCCCACTATCAAATTCAGGTACTTTTACAGAATATTTTTTGATTAGTTAAACAGAGGATTGAAACCGATTAAGAAAAAAGATGATATTTTTCTGCTCTTGTAAGGAGAGTAAAAACTTTTATTTCCCACAACTGCTTATTTATCAGAGCTTCAAGCTGGAAAATATAGCTTTTTCAGTCACCTATATTAAGTGTATTTATCCTGTTTACATCAAGTTTCTTTACGAACCTAATAAGTAGACCAGCAGCGACGCATACGAGTCCCCTGATCCCCTGACCTGAGATGGTATACGCAACAGCAGATCAAGTCTACGAAAAGATAACATGGCTGATAAACCTGACAGTTACACTCATAGAATGGTTCCTTATAAGCTTGTATAGTAGGCAATTTTTTCACAGCTTCATACCTTGCACTGAGCTTATATATCATGCAATGAGAACGTGCGGTATAGAAATTTGCATTATAGCTATATATAATCTCAATAGAACTCTCTGCTGTTTTGTTGAGCTGTTCTATCTTGTAGACCTCAAAAATAAAGCCCTCCTTGAAGTAGGCAATTAAAATGAGAACGATCACAACTCTTCATACTCGTAAAGGGTGAAGTCTTGTCTACAGCCGGATCACGCTAAAGAAGTTTCAAAACTTCATAATGATTTTTATTTATCCACATGCCTAAATGGCAGATTTCGGTGTTGTGGCGCTCTAAACAATTGAAAAGAGACACAAACGACAGTAACAAACGGTATTTTTTTTGCAGGGCAGAGTTAACGTTGTCAATAATTGTTGAGTGGTTTCACGTTACATGTAAAAATTTCAACAATGATGAGCTTTTGAAGAAGACAGTGAGTGCGCGTGAAATCTTCATTCTTCTCTTCCTGCCGTATTTGTTTTTTCATCACACTAAAAGCTACTGAACTCTGGACATGCTTTCGGTACATTGAGTAATATTTAATTCTCAGAATACTGTAGTTTTTCAAATCAAAACGGTTATTTAAAATTGTTTTCTACTCTAATTAAAATCTGGATAAAAATTTGCAAAAAAGCAGAAAGGAAAATTTCTTCACCGAGCTTAAAAAACTGACCATCATTCTTTATTTTGAAAGGAAGTAGTTCATTCAAGTAATGCAGAAAGTACTTATAGAGGAAGTACTGGATGGATCTGAATTAAACTTCAGGACTACTTTTCAATTTTACAACATCACAAACCTTTTTTCTATCTCTTCCAATCGCTTATTTGCCAAGCTTGTGCTGGTGTTGTGCCTTCAGTGGAGAAAATAAAAGAGACAACAGTAGTGATCAAACGTTGATTTTCCTACAATCAACGCCCGCAGATTTTCAACAACAGTCAACCAGAAAACTAATCTCGAAACGTAGTTTTTTGAATAAAGAGTCACTTGTTTACAGTCAGTCAAGAATAAATTGCACCTTAGAGTAAGATGCGTGACCGTTTTACATTGAAGCTAGACTTAAGTGGTCTTCGTCTACAAATGTGTTAAACCTTGTCATTGGTTTAGACTCCTCTAGAGAAATCTCAGTGTATTATTTTGGGCGTTTGCGACTCTCTCAGTTTCTTATCGAAGGGAAAAAAAAGTTCTGAATTCGATTCAACAAAGGATATTCATTTGAAAGCTTACCTTTTTTCCATAGCGTTCAGTCTTCTCTCAAAGTCACCGCCGACAGAGCTGGCATTTTTCTTGGCTGCTCTTGGTCCTCGGTACAGCAACGACTGACTCTTAGCAGAAGTCAAATGAACCGGGATGAAACAGAACATCACCGACACAACCATCAAGCGCAGTCCGGTCCGATGTGACACGATTGGCGATAATTTCATTGCCGATCGAGTAGCGCTTTCCGAACTTGAACTTTTGAAATCAGTTAAATCCAAGAAAAAAACAAAGATATCTCTTTCTATCCACCACATTATGATACGCAGAAAAATAAACGAGAATTTTTTCGCGTCTCTGACGTAGCACTACTTTAACCGGAAGTAAGTTTTAGAAGAACAGGGGTGCTTGCCATTTACACAAACCACCCGGGTGGGAATCTTTTTCATAAACACAAAACTATAAAATTTGACGTGGTTGGAGAACGACCCGCTACAAAGTATATCCAAATCAGCTTTGCAGACTAAAAAGAGTAGAAAAATTGCCTCGCTCATACAAATAGCAGCCCATTTTTTCTGAAGCTTCCCAAATATGGAATAGCGCGAACCGAGGTTTGATTATCCATCCGGAATTTCCGCTTTTCCCGTGCTAAGTAACCGGCCCTGGATTCCACGAAACCCTTATAATAATGATCAACGAACAAGGTGGTGAAAAATGTCTGTGTTAGAATCAATGAATAATTTCGTATTATTCAGCATTTCAGATTTTATAATTTCGTCTTCTTAATGTCTTAAAAGCGCTTACTAAATATTGCGACAGATTATTATCGTTTAATATTTGTACATTTTCATCATGGATTAGCGCTAAAGTTGCGTGTATAATATAGAACCCGAATTATTTTAGGCAGAATGCGCAAGCAAAATTGTTCCCTTAAAAACTAAGAGTGGCATTTATGGTTGTTAGTATCAGCCCAGTATTGTTAGCCTGGGGATCTTTAATCCGTAGGTTTTTTCACATCATGATACAAGTTTTCAAATAGCATCTAATTGTGTGAATAATTCATTTATAATTCTAACTTATAGTATGATAACACTGACCATCATTCAATACACGTCGAGAGTGCTCAGACTACAATTGACTAACTAATTGAAACAGAGAGGAAAAAAAAGCCTTCGGAACTACTCATGCAACGTATTATTCTGGCCATTACATCTGGAGTGGAACGGGATGAAATGGACTGAGGTAATTTTTTTTATGCCGTCTGAATTCGATGTTCTTTAGCTGTTCTTAGCAGGCGCAAAGATTTTGCTTTTCATGTTAAGCGACTGCCACACGATTAATTTAAACTTTCATGTTGAATTCAATTCAAAGTTTAATGCCGCTGTTTTTAACTTCTGTAGCTCCGATTTCTCAAACCGGAAATTTCACAAGTGCCGAATTTAATTCGAGAATAAACTGCACATGAGATGCGACGTCTGAATCAGTTGAATTCGACAGTTTCAAATTAAATACGACTTTGCCAAATCTGCCACTGAAACAGTCGAAGATTCGACTTACGTTCGACATCTGATTCAGACGACGCATTTCACATGTGCAGAATATAATGCATTATGTAAGAAAGTGTTATCCATCATTGGACAACGAAAGGACGACAGTTAAATTCGACACCATTATATCCGAAGTCTGAATAAACTGCCGTATGTAAAAATTATTTTAGTCGACTAAAATGGGAGCTGAATCAGACCAAATAAGGCACATGTGAAATTCGACGGGCCTAAGGTTAAATTTTGAGATCCCTCATCTCTCTCCGCCACAAACCTCAGAGAAGGGTGCGATCCCTGGTCGCGATCTCACTCGCTCAGATCCATAACATTTAGCTCAGGTATTTAATGTTTCTGCAGTGAGTGTCGGAACTCTTCCGCTCTTCGCCCTTCTAATTTATCAGGAATCCGGCATTGTCTAATGTACTAATGTTAGCATTAATCAAACAAAGGAATTGGAGGCGTGCCCTATAACTTGACTAAGGGAAAGAAATACTACGTTAAAATCATCGATTATAGTACACATGAGAACGCGAGAGATCGATCGTAATTCACTGGCTTCTCACATCGCATCATCGCAGCGATCTTCTCCGCGGTATCTTTTCATGGGTTGGTTGTACAAACAGTTGACTGATTGTTATAGTTACGGAAGCCCTTTAGAGTGAAATAATTTACTTGTACTAGGGAAATTATAGCCATCTTGCATTATGTTTGCCACGACATCACGCCACAAGACTCATATGCATGACGTTGTTTTATTTGCGAACAAACACAGATGAGTATAGTATGGCTTTGTACTTAATGTGTAATCAGTAAAACACAAGAATAGGGGGATTTTCACTTACTTTCACTTATTACCTTTAGTAACTCCGTCAACTTACACTTTTCGAGGCTTTTCTTAGTTACTTGCGTGCTCAGGCAGTTTACTCAGAAACTGACGTTGAAAATCACTTGTTTGTCCTGAAAATTTGCCTCTCATTTTTGCATTAAAAAAGGAAACTGTTGTTTGTTGAGAAACTAAATCTATGTGACGTATTTGTAGACAAAGCCAAGTTACTGGACCATATGCAAATCTGCGATTGAATACAAGAGAGTACCGTCCTAAGTAAAGTTTCAATTTGTATTTTGTTCTGGTGGGTCAGCTGCAGTGCGAGAAGAAATCTTTTTGTAATTAGTAATTCTGACTACAATAATATTTATTACATGTACCATCAGCATTGAGAATAGAAAGTCTAGTATGCTATACTAAATAAAGATTCGATTGACTGACGCCGATTTAATGAACAGATCCTATAACGTATAGGTTTACAACTTGAAGTTTTCACGGAAGCTCATCTAGCAAAAACATTCACCGTTAAATTGACGAAGTTCATTGTCTGGTAGACAATAGTACACTCTCCACCCAACATTTGAATGATCCACTATACGCTCGGCATTTTCCGCTCTTCACATTTTCTACACCCGGCATTTTCTACCACAATGCGCACTATCCACACTCGGCACTGACCACATTTTCCACGTAGCCCCATTTCTATGGTTACTGAACATTAACGTACCAACAAACCGCAATTTCCCAACGCACATATTCCTTCGTTTAAATTCGACTAGCGACTTTTAAACTGAAAAGCCATATGCAATGCGTTTGTACAGTATGGACTACCATTAGCATTGAAAGGCAATTTCGCCGGCAAACAAACGGGTTAAGTTTAATTAAACTGGAGTAGATTTGCCCTGATTCTTGACGAATCTGGGACATTTTGGTAGTGGATCAGTTTTGACGTTCACGAAGATGCGTGAATCCAAAATAGAGAGTCCCGGTTTGGTTGCGTACATCCCAAGATTTTGAATCCGGAATCAAAAGTGATGTCAATACAATATATTTTGCAACCGATTGTCGAATGCCAGTCTCAGATGAATTTTCTCTCAATATTTAACTAATGCTAAGTTCCAGCCTTTTAGTTTGTTGTTTACAATATAAACCTTTCTATTGAATCAGGATTAAAGTCTGAGTATGATGGCCAAGTGAACCATTAGGTTTTCTAGATGGCCACCACAACACCGGTTACATTTGAATTGCTTACAGCAATGGAGGTTTTGTATTTTAAAAACGTGATACATATTTCTCAGCTTTCTATATGATTATATCCGCCCTTAGTACACTGGCCTGCATATAGGAGTTCTTCTTGTGTGGGAAGGAAGCGCACGCTGGAAAAATGTTGAAAACACGTAAACACGAAAAGTTTCCGACGGGTTTTGTCTAATTTTTTGTAAAATTCCTTCACTAAATAGGGCAAGTTCGATTCAAACAATGCTTTCATCTGGTGAATACCTTTATGTATTTTACTTCTTTTCTCGAATAACTAGCGAGTATCAATCGAATTAACGTTAACGGAAGTAGTTCACTATTCAGTGAAAGAAAAATTTTTCCTCTGGAAAACGGTGTGTGGAGCGGGGTGGAGGAGTTGATAAAGCCCCCTCAGCTCCCCGGCTCCGCCGTTCCTTACTCCCTCCTTCCTATATCCTCGCTCATGAATCCCTTGTCTACCAGAGGTTTAAACATCTGATGCAACTTTATTCTCCTTTATCTTCCTCAGGGTGATTTTCATGTTTACGGGACGCATTTAAGTGGAAAAATCACTTTAAGTTACCGCACTATGTCTGGAAATTGAAATGGAAGGCGTTGAACTTCCAGCTCCCTAATTTTAGCGATTGTTTGGAATACATTAAACAAATATGCCTTCGTAGATGTTCTTATCTTTAGTTGGAAGTTTTTCTCTGGGTGTCGGTGAAGAGCTTTTTAAAGTATCCCCTCCAGCTTGAACGAGGTCAAAAGGATAGAGAGCTACGAGAAGTAAGCTAGCAAATTGATGTTTATGAATGATCACATCATTTGTTTATTCTTTTTAATTACAGTTCGCATTAAGTTACAACAGGTTTAAATAGGTGCTGTTTTTAAAGGCAAATTATGAGACCTAAATCAAATCACCATTTTAAAAATATCTTTTGTATCTCGTCGGTAGCCACTACTCATCACTTGGTACACACAGCGCATGTCAACTCTCGACCGCTGGCATAAGGAGGACATGGGAGTGAGCCGCAATTTCCTTCCACAGCGTACAGCAAGGCACCGTTTTTGTTGGCATGGCTACCAGGAACATACTCTGGATCCCCATCAACACAAATGAAGTCGCTTGAATGCTTGTGGTTATGATAAGCAGTCATCAGGTACCCATGATACTCCTTGATCCATCCAGACGGACAGTCATTCCTAGCAGGCATCATCAGCATTGAACCACGTGTCTTGACGAAGCAGACGACGCACGGCGCATCATGATTGTGAAGATTTCTCTTAAAAGGATCTCCGTTGTAATCTTTCACTTTATATTCAGTGCCGTACACGTATCCAACGGCCTGATGGCCATCTTTGTACTTGTCATATTTGATTGTGTGGAAGGCAAAAGTAGTTCGCTCCACCACCAGGGTGATTGTAGTCAGTTCTCCACCCATTATACCTGATGTGAACAACAAATTAATTCAAGACTATAAAAAGATTTTTGATAGAAGCTGACCAGATTAAAGTCAAACCCCGTTACTACGGAGACTGAAGGGGCCATGGAAAGTGTCCGTATTATGCGGGTTTAATTTAGAAAAAGTGAATTAAGAGTTTTCTTTCCCCAGGGACAAAGCAAACTGTCCGTAATATAGAGGTGTCCGTATTAAACGAGTCTTATAGCGGGTTTGACTGTACCTTAAAAATCGTGATCCACTGAGGGTTTTGATCACACCCAGAGTTCCTGGCTTTACTTTGTTTCCTCTCAGTGTTGGTAACCGCAATCATACAGTATATAATCAAAGTAAATTGAAACTAAAGTCACATTCACACCAAAGCTTAAACATGTTTAAAAAGGTGTTTAGTTAAACAAGGTTTAAATTTGTTGTTGCTGTTAAAGTTACTCAGTTATTGTCAGTACTCTTTGACTTTTAATGAAGACAAATTTAGTGCAGTTTTGTAACATCTTTAAAAGTTCACTTGGATTCTGTGCAAAAGCCTTTGTTTAAATTTTCCGTTACTGTTTTTAATTTTTCTTAAACCTAGTGTAACTAAACATGATGTTGGTGTGAATGGGGCATAAGTTGATGAAAGATTAATTCAATCGACGTTACTTTCGGATCATTTTTCAAAAGGATTTGGAATATAAACATGCCTTAGGCGGCAAAACAAAAATGTGAAATCTACTTCAACGAGAAGATCGTGCTAAGAAGTTTAAGAACACACCTTTGTGGAATAACTCACCAGACATGGCCTTACCAGTTTATAAACTAATTGGGCGGTAATTATTCACGATTTATAAAGTTGTTCTCATTTTCTTACCTTTGTAAACTATCTGCACCCCAGTAGGACATGTAGTCTTCCCCATCGAACGTACTTCACCCCTGATGTCGTAGATCCATCGCGTCCCTTATCTCCTTTTGCGCCTTGTGGTCCCTGGGCTCCAGTATTCCCAACTGCTCCCTGGTCTCCTTTAGGACCATGAGGGCCTGGAAATGGCTTGTTGGTTCCAGGTTTTCCCGCATCCCCTGTAACAGTTAAAAATGACCCTTAGCACTCTACAACTTAACTGTTTATTTAAGTTCTTACTAGCAATTTTTTGCTCTTCAAGTAGCACAGCTTTGTGATTCATTGAGCTCATTATGAGCTTTATTTTGGTTTTATAAATTACCACTTACATTTGATTTCCGATCTCGTCGTCAGGGGGCGGTTGAATGTTTGTTTTAAAATTACTTAACAAAGAAAAGAGGAAATCATGAAATTTTTCCCATGTTAAGGGAATCCGGATTCCGGAATCTGCGAAATTTTTGCTGCTGAAATCCGGAATCCTGGGCTTTGGAATCCAGAGTACAGTTCAGAAAAATTGGAATTGGGAATCAAGTGCCACTGACAAACTTAGCTTAAATCTGGAATCCATGGCGTGGAATCCAGAATGCAAGACTCTCTTAGATTTCCTTACATGGGGCGAATGAAATAAACAAATTTATTAGTAGTAGAATTCTTCTTTTCATGAAACGGAAATGACAAGTAAAACAAACCATTTTTCTTTGTCATAGTTGATTTACCCCTAACCTTATTAAACTTAGATTACGTGCGTAAGACAAACACGAACTCTTAAAAACGGTTGTTTTGAATTCGTTGTCCATCTTGAAGTAAGTGGCTGAGTTGAATGACTTAGATTAGATCTAGAGTATTCGATCCCTTTTTTCTCTCATTCTTCCTGGCTATCAATGAAGGAAAAAATTATTTCATCGCCATTTTCTTTCGGTCATCGTGCGAACGGTTTCAATTAATTGTACCTTTCGGTCCAGGTGGTCCTCGTTTTCCAGGGGGGCCGGCTGGTCCAGCTCGTTCCTTTCCAGTACTTTGCTTATGCTGTCCTGAAATAAGTACACGACTATATCATCAACAAATGGAACCAATGTACCCGCTAGTGCTTTGTAGAGTTGATGGCAATTTTCTCTTAATTGGCTCTAATTCAAGTTCAGTGTTCCGGCTACAGCAATCACTTTAAAAAGCTCTCTACCTTTTTCGCTTCCATCTTTCCCCTTTTCCCCAGAAACGCTTGAATCTCAGGCCACAATCACTTGTTCTACATGTACAATATATGTTCAACAATATGTGAAGCTATTTTTTTGTTGCACTTTTGAAAAAAATCACATCACGAGAAAGCTTAAGAATTTGATAGTCTAACGTCTGCCATTTCTTTTGGTGGAGATGATCGTCTGCCAGTTTATGAGACAACAATTCCCAACCTCAGTGGCTCAAATAATATAAAAGAAATAACTGTTTTCAATTATATACCTTAAAGTAAAGGTAAAGTACAGTTAAAACTCGGGAGTAAGAACTTGCATTTTCCCAAGTTAGCCCAACTCAGGCTCTTATATAAATGGTAATTAGCACAAAAAAATAAATTTAGGCTGTTTAGGTTTTTATTTTTTGAAACAACAATAAAAAAAGCATTATAGCTAAGAGTATTTACTTGTATTCAGCTTATTCCTTATATAAAAAACAATCTGCTTACCAAGTAAGTATTATGTAAAAATGACCAGAAGAAGAACTGAAGCACCGACTACGTGAATTTTGAGTCCTCTTTCAAAACATTAATTAATATGGACCTGCTTCAAATTTTAAGGTAAACAGGTTCTTGCATAGAAGGGGCCTATATGGTACTGGCAAATTTTAGCCCAACGGGTTCTTAAAAACCAGGTACTTACCCCCAGATTTTTATACTGTACATTGCCAACTGCAATGATCAGAGTAAAAGGATGAAATACGCTGTGTTTATAATACCCTTTATTCTATCACGGCTTACCTTTCTTACGTATTTCTCAGCAAATGTAAGTCAGAAAATTATGGAGGAGTAAATGGCTATGACCTAAAAACGTCTGAACGTTCCTTTTTCATTGATCAAGAACACAAATCAGTCTCGCTTTTGAAATTGCCAGACTTAATTATTCAGCGTAAGTGGACAGTATTATTGTTTTTACAAGTTAGAGAACTCTACTGAATTAGAGTACAAACCAAGAAGGTAGGCCATTAGCCCGTACGATTCCTTTGGTCGAGGACGCATGCGCAGTAAAACATCAAGCCTGCAGAAAGATGACGACCAATAATTAGGGTGACAACAAATCTCTGGCTCAGCTGATAATTTTTTGCACCAATTCTGACACTAACTTTTGATCGACTTTAATTAATTCATCTGCGGTGAGTAAATCTCTTGAACAGAGTTGTGCTGATCGAGTTATTATGCTTGGGTGACACAAAAAAATTTAACGTTTTTGCCTTGGGTAAATAAGATATATTCTTGCTAAATTAAGTGAAATATGGTTTCCCATTCACTTGAGTAAATTTGCCTGTTCCAGCTGCTAAAAGCTTACTGATGCAAGATGACTTTTTCTCAAACTTGGACCTTGAAGAGCTAGCAATGTTACTAAAAATATTCAACATGATTCAATATCATGTCTTCAAACGAGGTTAGTTACCGTCTACCTCCACAAAATTTAAATGCGACGAATTCCGCTTTTGGACGGTTTCACAGCAATTATATAGAGTTTCACAGGCTGTTTCCAGGTTTAAAAAATATTAGTGAGTTGATAGGCTCAGTTTAAGACTAAAGTTAGAACCAAAAGATGTCGTTTGCACAAGACAAGGAAATTTTCTGAATAACAATAAATGTTTTTGACTGAAGGATTATTCTCAACCGCAAAGCCTGTCATGCAGTACACCGCTCTCATATGTAAAGGAGCACCACTCCATTGAGTACTGCGACGAAAACGGTCATTAAGATTACTGTTACAGGTTTTTAAAGTCGTTGTCAAATATCCTGGTTTGTTTTAACGTGCATTTCTACGCTTAAAATACTGGCTGCTATATATACGTACTGCGAGGAAATTCTCTTGATAAACTAGATTCACATTGGCTATAGATCTATTCGTTTCTTTGTAATTTCCTTTCGTAATGTCGTAGGATAAAACATTTGAAAATTTCGTCTTCTTGCAAACCACAATGAATAAAAAGGGGAGGATAGGCTGCAACTAGAAAACTTTGATTCGAGTTACCTTCGGGTTTTTTATATCAGTTTCCTGAGCAATAGAGTAAGGATTTTTCAGTGAAGAAAATAAAACGTACCTTTCCTCTACGTCTCTCAGTCGTTTTTCGATGTCCGAAAAGTTAAAAGTCGCGTTTTTCTTTACTGCTTTTTGTCCTCGGGTCAACAAAGAGCGTTTTTCGCGTATTTCAGCTTCATCAGCAGATACTCGGCTGGGGTTAGGATTTGCGACTCGTCCTTCAGGCGCCCGAGTTTCATACTTGGCGGATATGTGAGTAGCAATAGCACAGAACATCGCCAGCTTTAGAGCCTGTAAACGCATCACCCTACGATACGTACCGACAGCGGATAATTTCATCGATCGCAAATAGCGTATGAGCGTCTTCTCTTTTTTACAGTACTGCCTCGGACAGACGCACTTTAAAGAAAATTATTATCAAGAGTAAGTCACGTCGAAATCAGAGGGTGAAACAATGATAAGAATCGAGAATTTATTCTTGTTTGTGACGTAGCAACATTGTGCACATTGGAAGTCAAAGAGAGCAATGTCGAGATCCTTGAGTATCACACTGCTTAGTAGATCCTGTCTCCAAGCGGAAGTAAGAGTGTGAACTGTTACGAGCTGCTATCATAAAATAAATACCCCATCGCCTTTAACTTTTAAGAAAACAACCGAAAAAGCAAGGTAGTTAATCAAAATCTCTTTAAATTTGTTCCATTTATTACATGCCAGAATAACTACTACAATTTTGCGGGTTTCTCAAAGTAAACATGGATACTTTGCTTTTCAATTGATTTACTGACAATTCAAACTGATTATGCATGTTACGACTGCTACTACGGCAAAAGAGCAAAGTAATTCATTACTATGACAGACACTCATTTAACAAACTTAAGATCTACGCCTAAGGATCCAATACGCTTGCCAGGACAGTCAAAAGCACAAAGTTTTTTTTAAAGAATTCTTCTTTCCCACTCTCTGGGATATCACTTTTTCTTCTACAGTATTATGATAATTTAACTGAGATCGACTTAACGGTTTTACATCGAAGTTAGCATATAAAAAATGTGAAGTTCTGAAGCTGAGTCTGCCATCAGTGGGAACTTTTACAAAAGCAGGTTTATGGCGAGTGAATAAATCACGAAACCTGGGGGAAAAACCTTCAGATCGGAGCCGACAACCAGTAACAGCCAAAACGGTTTCTAAAAATAATCTTCCTATAGATCGACTTTTTGGCGAGAGTAAAGAGTCAAACTGAAGTTTCTCTTTAGATAAATCCGTTATGGCGCGAGTTCATTCCAGTACGTATTGTGCTTTTTTGTAGCAGGGAGAGGAAAACTGGCAAACCTCAAGAGAGAAAACTTAGAAGAGGGCAAAGTCAACTAACATTCCAATGTCTGAAATGACTCAAAGCGCAAGTCTGTTATAGTCTTATAAAGGGTGCGCGGAGGCGGGACTTAGAACAAGCATTATAGTCGGTCTATTGCCTTCAAACATCTGCGCACCCATCTGTAGGTTCCCGTGGATACAGTATACTGCAACTTGTTTCCGTAAATCATTTTAAACATAGTTTTTATATGCAGCGAGATGGCAAATTCCTATTCATGGCCGAATACTCTATGAAAAAGAAAACAAATTTTACTCTTATTCAGCTCGCCCAAGAGTCGTACTTGTCGTTTCAAGCTACAATTGTCCTGATGACTCGTCAGTAACGCACATATATAGGGGGGCACCCGGTGCCTCGGGGGTACATCCTCTAATGGCTTATACGGAAAGGCTCCGGCCGAAAGGAGTACCTCTTTCAGGCTTCAAGTAATGAAAAATGTAATTCACATACGTATCAATCTCTCACCCCCAGGGCTTTTCACCGCCCCCAGGGAAAGCCCTGAACGAGGCTAATTACATGTATCTGTCGATAACAAATCGCAGATAGTCGAAATCAAAACTGTTTTCCCTTCTTCGAAAGTAACTGTTAAGAAAGTTCAATATTATTCATTTAGTTAAGGCTAACCGCTTGAGGGCGGCACTCAGGCGAAGGAAAAAGCTATCGGCACAGCGCTGAATTCACTAGTTTGTGCAGTTCCTTAGTTAGGCGGCAGGTCTTTGTTTGCGTTAGTGGTTCTTTAGTGACTGTTCCACTGAACTGAACTCAGTTAAAATTGACAGAATGCTTGCCCTAGCAATTAAGCACTTGCGGTTTTCTCGGTGTGCTCAAGGTATTATGTGGAATGTCAATGCGTTTACACAATGTTTACAGACGTCAAGTCAGCTATCTGCCAGCACTGAGATAACTAACTTATCTGTAGGTTGCGCTGATTTCCAAATTTAAATGTAGACTCTTAGCCAATGAAAAGACAGACAGTGTGGGACTTTAATTTTCAGATACATTTTCGAATCTAATTGTAGATCGCTTTATTATCATTATTAATGACGAGACAGTTTCTGTTGTGCAATGAAGATGATGTGAACTTTCGCAGGTAAGATGAACTCAACAAATTGCCCTGCTCCCAATGTATAGATCTTCATAGTTCATGGGTTTTACTCGCGTTAAAGTTAGCCCCCGAATTTCCGGTTAAATTGCAATTGCTTAAATTACGATTAAAAATGTGACAGCCATATTTTCATTTAGAGTTTTCGTTATCTTCATAGAGACGACTCTGAGTTCATTGTCTTGAGGCTGAAAAAGAACTTACGCTGTTTTAAACTTTAAACTCGAGCAGTGTCTCTTTGCTAACAGCTTAAACATCTCATTCTAAACAATTCCCTGTTGTCAGGTCGTATATTGGGTGTCCTGTGACCCAGATAACGTACGCAAGTGTGCAACATCATCTTATGGTCAATCAACGTTTAACTTCTCAGCAAGAAAGAGGGAAGAAAATGTCTAGTTGAATTGAATAGATACTTGACTATTTCCTCACAAAAGGTTCGGAGTACAATTAAATCAAAATAGCCGAAATAATAGCATAAAAACAAAATTTGTGGTGTATTCAATGACGAACATGCGTTTATTGATGTACTTTAAAAAATCTATAATTTGCTGCGTATAAGCGTCAAAGTATTTTGAAATGCTTTCCTTCTTTGATTTCGGATAAGGTAAAAGGATTGAGGAGCTTGAAGATTCCCAGTAAAGTAACATATTGTTTTTTCTGACTGATTATCTTTTATTTTTATTGTTTTTACTTCTACATGTAGCTCGTGTTATGCTACAATGGACTTTCCTTCAGGTTTTTTTTAACTTAATGGCGTATTATGATATTTCGAATCAAACATAATTCTCCTTTTTTTTGACGTTGCAGCTTGTTGTAAGCCCCTCATCACTTGGTACACACAGCGCATGTCAACTCTCGACCGCCGACATAAGGAAGACACGGGAGTGAACCACAAACACCTTCCACAGCGTACAGCAAAGCACCATTTTTGTTGGCATGGCTACCAGGAACATACTCCGGATCCCCATCAACACAGACGAAGTCACTTGAATGCTTCTGGTTATAATATGCAGTCATCAGGTACCCATGATACTCCTCGGTCCATCCAGATGGACAGTCATTCCTTGCGGGCATCATCAGCATTGAACCACGTGACTTGACGAAGCAGACAACGCATGGCGCATCATGATCATGGAGATTTCTCTTAAAAGGGTCTCCGTTGTAATGACTCACTTCATATTCAGTGCCGTACACGTATCCGGAGGCCTGATGGCCATTTTTGTACTTGTCATATTTTGGATTGTGTGGAAGGCAGAGGTAATTCGCCCCACCGCCAGGGTTATTGTGGTCTTCTCCACCCATTATACCTAGTGCCAGGAGCAAAATTAACTTGATTAATAACTCTATATTACGTCCCGAATGGCCGTAAAAAACGATCTAGTGCAATTCTTTTTTCATGATGGTTTAAAAGATAGGGAATAAAGTTGTCTGGAAAGAGAGAGCAGCAAAGACGTGGAAAGTATTAAGCCTAATAATACTGGAAAAGAATTACTCGATATAGAAATATTCGCTAGTTACTCTACATCTTAAGAACCTATTTGCATTGACCATTAGAGTACAATAACCCTTACTATTTGTATGACCATTCTCTTACCTTTATAAACTACCTGAGCGCCACTAGGACAAGTGGTTCTTCCCCAGCGAATGTACTTCACCCCTGATGCCCCAGATCCATCCTGTCCCTTTTCTCCTTTTGCACCCTGTGGTCCCTGGGCTCCAGTCTTCCCAACTACTCCCTGGTCTCCTTTAGGACCAGGAGGGCCTGGGAATGGCTTGTTGATTCCAGGTTTTCCCGCGTCCCCTGTGAAGAATAACCCCATGCTGAGCACTCAACAACGTTATTGGGTATTTCATTGCCAGAAAATTTAATTTCCGCCGATTAGATATGACCGTTTTTAATTTCTCATTTAAGTGCCATAAAGCCATAGATACACGAAAACTATTGCTTTTTGGCTCTTGTGTTTTGGTGTTGGTATTATTTAGCGTCTTTTCAATCTTTTGCATGAATTACGTCATTTGGGGATTAACCCGTTTGCAACACCAAGAAAGAAACAACAGATAATTTTACCTTTAGGTCCTGATGGTCCAGTAGCTCCAGTTTTCCCGGTTAGTCCAGCTGGCCCAGGAGGCCCAGGGGGACCAGCTGGTCCAACGCGCACCTTTCCCAGGGTACTTTGACCATGCTGACCTGAAATACACCAAGGACGGATGAACGCTAAGCACAGTCAGCCTTATTTGATTAGGTTAACCTACTCACAGCCGCTAATTCTTGGTTACCTATAATATCTAAGACAATACTACTTATAAATATCTCAGTTTTTTTAACCTTTGTGAAACTACTCTTCAATTCATTCATATAATACACGTCAATCACAGATTGATAATCTGTTTGTTAAATCTGTTCATACCACTCAATACGGCATTCGTTCTCTCAGTTACACTGGTCCAAAACTTTGGAATTTTTTATCTATTGATGTTAAGAAAATCAAGCCGTTTTCCAGTTTTCGTCAACATATCAAGAATTCTGTGATTGATGGTTACAATACTATTATTGATTCCTAATGTTTTACGATTATATTATCTTAACTACTATTTAATTAATGAAATAATACTTTTTATCTAAAACAACTATTTTGCATCTATATTCCTTCTACTCATATGCTTGTTTGGGTCACCTACTCGGATAGTTCCACGAACTATTTAGGTGTCCCAAACTCTGCACAATAAACCTACAATTGAAATTTTCTTTCCCTTCACAATCTCTCGATTTTATATTTTAAAGCACTAATTTGTTTTAATTATAATTATTCTGGGTGAGTTTGAATAAAAATTGACTTGACTTGACTGTTTTTACTTGTTTCTGACAAAGTCAGTCGTTTCTGACGATTGGAAACAGGCAGTACTGTTACCCTTCCTTAGTACACTTTTTTTCTTTCGTCTGGATTAACTCCCTAGTTTGTGAAATCAGAAACACAAAGCAATAACACCGAGTAAGACATTTTTTCAAGCGTTTTTAAAAACCTCATCTTCAATATACCAACATCATCAAAGAAACCGAATCAAGAAAGAAAATATGGAATAGTAATCGCCCACTATCAAATTCAAGTACTTTTACAGAATATTTTATGATTAGTTAAACTGAGAATTGAAACCGCTTAAGAAAAAATAAAGATCATATTTTTCTGCTCTTGTAGGGAGAGTAAAAACTTTTATTTCTCACAACTGCTTATTTATCAGAGCTTCAAGCTGAAAAATATAGCTTTTTCAGTCACCTATAGTAAGTGTATTTATCCTGTTTACATCAAGTTTCTTTATTACCAACCTAATAAGTAGACCAATAGCGACGCATACGAGTCCCCTGATCGAGATGGTATACGCAACAGCAGATCAAGTCTAAGGAAAGATAACATGGCTGATAAACCTGACAGTTACACTCTTAGAATGGATTCCTGATACGCTTGTATGGTAGGCAATTTTTTCACAGCTTCATACCTTGCACTGAGATTATATATCATGCAATGAGAGCGCGCGGTATAGAAATTTGCATTATAGCTATACATAATCTCAATAGAACTCTCTGCTGTTTTGTTCAGCTGTTCTATCTTGTAGACCTCAAAAATAAAGCCCTCCTTGAAGTAGGCAATTAAAATGAAAACGATCAAAACTCTTCATACTCGTAAAGGGTGAAATCTTGTCTACAGCCGGATCACGCTGAAGAAGTTTCAAAACTTCCTAATGATTTTTATTTATCCACATGCCTAAATGGCAGATTTCGGTGTTGTGGCGCTCTAAACAATTGAAAAGAGACACAAGCGACAGCAGCAAACGGTATTTTTATTGCAGGGCAGGGTTAACGTTGTCATTAATTGTTGTGTGGTTGCACGTTACATGTTAAATATTCAACAATGATGAGCTTTTGAAGAAGACAGTGAGTGCGCGTGAAATCCTCATTCTTCTCTTCCTGCCGTATTTGTTTTTCCATCACACTGAAAGCTACTGAACTCTGGACGTGCTTTCGGTACATTAAGTAATATTTAATTCTCAGAATAATGAAGTTTTTCTAATCAAAATGGTTATTTAGAATTGTTTTCTACTCCCATTAAAATCTGGATAAAACTTTGCAAAAAGGCAGAAAGGAAAATTTCTTCACCGAGGTTAAAAATTGACCATCTCTCTTTATTTTGAAAGGAAGTAGTTCATTCAAGTAACGCAGAAAGTACTCATGGAGGAAGGACTGGATGGATTTGAATGAAACTTCAGGACTACTTTTCAATTCGCATAACATCACAAACCTTTTTTCTATCTCTTCCAATCGCTTATTTGTCAAGCTTGTGCTGGTGTTGTGCCTTCAGTGGAGAAAATAAAAGAGACAACAGTGATCAGAAGGGTTGATTTTCCTACAATCAACGCCTGCAGATTTTTAACAACAGTCAACCAGAAAACTAATCTCGAAACTTACTTTTTTGAAGAAAGAGTCATTTGTTTGTTAGAATTAAGAATAAATTGCCCGGCTTAGAGTAAGATGCGTGACCGTTTTGCATTCAAGCACGAGAGATTACATTGAAACTAAACTTCTTCATCTAAAATGTATTAAACATGGCAATGGTTTAGAACGCTTCTCGAGAAATCTCATTGTATTATTACTTAATATGCCATAACTAAATCCATCTAAGGACATTTATTATGCGTGAGTTTGGGGATTAAGCGATTCTCTCACCTTCTTACCGAAAGAAACAGAAAAAAGTTCTAAATTTGTATTCAACAAAGGTCGTTCATTTGATAGCTTACCTTTCTTCCATGGCTTTCAGTCTTCTTTCAAAGTCACCGACTACAGAGTTGGCATTTTTCTTGGCTGCTCTCGGTCCTCGGTACAGCAACGACTGACTCTTAGCAGAAGTCAAATGAACCAGGATGACACAGAACATCACCGACACAACCATGAAGCGCAGTCCGGTCCGAGGTGACACTAATGGCCAAAATTCCATTGCCGATCGAGTAGCGCTTTCGTTAAAACTTGAACTTTGAAATATTAAAAGCTAGGAGAAAAACAGAGAAATCTCTTTCTATCCACCACACGAGATTTGTTAATGCTTTGTTGATATCACTGGATAACGATACACAAAAAAATAAACGAGAATTTTTTCGCGTCTCTGACGTAGCACTACTTTAACCGGAATTAAGTTTTTGAAGAAATGGATTCCACGAGACCATTACAATAGTGACCCGCGAACAAAGTCGTAAGCAAGTTCTGTGTCAGAATCAATGAATAATGTCGTATTTTTTAGCTTTTCAGCTTTTATAATTTCGTCTTCGTAATAGCCACCTTACAAGCGCCTACTAAGTATTGCGACATTATAATCCTTATTTGTACATTTTGATTGTGGATTATCGCTAAACCTGCGTGTATTATACAGAACACGAACTGATTTTAGGCAGAATGCGCAAGCAAAATTGTTCCCTAAAACTAAGCCGAGTGGCATGTATGGTACAGTTGTTATCATCAGCCCAGTTCTGTTAGCCTGGGGGATTCGTAGGCTTTTTTACATCATAATAAAGGGTTTTCAAATAGCATCTATAATTGTGTGAATAATTTATTTATAATTGTAACTTAAAGTATCAATAACACTGACCATCAATACACGTCGAGAGTGCTCAGACTACAATCGACTTACTGATTGAAACAGAGAGGGAAAGGAGCCTTCGGAACTCCTCAGTGCAACGTACTTGACTCTGGCCATTATACTGAACGCCAGCTTGTAATTCACTGCACTGATACAAGCAACCCTGGCTACTCACATCGCATCATCGCAGCTGTGTTCTCCGCGCTATCTTTTCATGCGTTGGTTGTACAAACGGTTGACTGATAGTTCTTAGTTACGGAAAGTCTTTAGAGTAAAACAACCTACCAGGGAAATTATAGCCATCTTGCGTTATGTTCGCCACGATCATCACCACAAGACTCGTATGCATAACGTTGTTTTTAATATTTGCGAACAAACACAGATGAGTATAGTGTGGCTTACTTAATGTGTAAAACACACAAACAGGGGGATTTTCACTTATTACCTTTAGTTAGTAACTCCGTCGACTTAAACTTCTCGAGACTTTTCTTAGTTACTTGCGTGATCAGTTCAGTAATTACTCAGAAACTGACGGTGAAAATTCACTTGTTTGTCCGTGAAAATTTGCCTCCCATTTTTGCATTAAGAAAGGAAACTGTTGTTTGTTCAGAAACTAATTAAATCTATGTGGCGTACTTGTAGACAAAGCCAAATTGCTAGACCACATGCAAATCTGCGATTGAATACAACAGAGTACCATCGTGAGTAAAGAATCAGTTTGTATCGGAATTGTTCTTGTGGGTCAGCTGCAGTGCGAGAAGAAATCTTTTTGTAATAAACTGAGTGATTGGTAATTCTGACTACAATAATATTTATTACATGTATGCTATACTAAATAGCGATTCAATTGACTGACGCCGATTTAATGAACAGGTCATTATAACGTATGGTTTTTACAACTTAAATTTACGTTTTCACGGACGCTCGTTTAGCCGAAATATTCCTTGTTATATTGACGAAATTCATTGTCTAGTAGACAGTAGTAGGCTCACCACCCAACATTTTAATGATACACTATACACCCGGCATTTTCCGCTCTCCACATTTTCTACACTCCGCATTGCGCGCTATCCACACTAGGCATTGACCACATTTTCCACCTAGCCCCATTTCTATGGTTGATGCTATAACTGCACATTAAGTACCCACAAACCGCAATTTCGCAACGCACATATTCCTTCGCTGTGTGTTTAAATTCGAGTAGCGACTTTTAAACTGAAAAGCCATGTGCAATGCGGTTGTACAGTATGGACTACCATTAGCATTGAAAGGCTGAATTTCGCCGGCAAACAAACTGATTAAGTTTAAACTGGAGTAGATTTGCCCTGATTCTTGACGAATCTGGGACATTTTGGTAGTGGATCCGTTTTGACGTTCACGAAGATGCGTGAATCCGAAATAAAGAGTCCCGGTTTGGTTGCGTATCCTAAGATTTTGAAAAATTTGCAACCGATTGTCGAATGTTCTCAGATGAATTGATGTGTGTAAAAGCCGCCGGCAGATCCGAATACTCTAAATGTAGTAAAGTCGGAAATGAACTTAGCCCAACAAGAAAGCCACGTTGTGGAAATTTATCATAATTCGGCCTCCGATGGTGATTAAACGGGCTGTTTTTTCCGACCGCTAAACATCATGCATGCAGTATTGTGAGCTCTAGATACTCAGTTTCTTGCGCCCTTGATTCTGAATGTGGAAGGGATGGAATTGGGGGGAAATGGTTGATAGGTCTTCTTAAATGTTGTAACTTTTGCCCTGGGACTCAATATTTTCTTTAATATGAGAAAATAGAGCACGAGCGAAAACACAGAATCACGGGCGTAGTAATTGATAATGAAGAGTTTGTTCAACTGCCATTCGGGGTTTATTTCTTTATCTTATCTTTTTCTTTTAACAAAAATAAAACATCGGCAAAATGTCGCACTTTATAAGTGTGCAAAGGAAAATTAAGAGCAGTTCAGCTGCCGTTCGATATTTTTCCTTCTCTTAACTTGTTCTTTTTAACAAAATTAAAACAACGGCAAAATGTTGCACTTTGAGTCTTTGCAAAAAACTAAAATCATCGTGCAAACCCAGCTGTGCTCGCTATTTTCAGCAGCGTAACGTGAGCTGCCACAATTCTTGATTTACGGAACCAATTGTCGAAAGTTATGTTTCTTTGAAACATTTTCCGCATGAGCTGCAAAAGTTGCTGCTAGGTGAACATTTAGCGGAGCACTCGCAGCAAACTTTCCCTACTACATTTGTTTGGTCCTTGGACGAAACCACGTTGTACGCATGTTCCTGGTCAGCTGCTTTACAGTTCGCTCCCAGACTATATTTTGGTGCGTGCAAGTACTCCATCATAGGATACGAGAAACCTGGTGGCGATCCGTAGATAGGGTAGTGCCCAGGCCTCATTGGGCCTTGATAAGGCGATCGAGCCTGATGAGCAATATAACTTGAATGTATGCCTGGGCTGTAATGCAGCGTCTCGGGTGTCTTTAAAGAAGCTAGAGCTTTCTCGTGACTTGGTAGAACGCACTCAATTACCCTTAGAACATCTCCATGGCAACCCTTGAGAATCAGTTCCAGTACACCCCGCCTCTGAGTTGGAAAAAGCCTGGTAAGTAATTCTAATGGAGGCAGTTTCCCACGATAATTAGAAACCTGGTTTCCGGGACTCTCAAGATGCTCTTTTCCTTCGTCGTCGCTGCAAGAACGGAAAGCCTCTTTTTGTTTATCTTGATTGGTTGGTTGTTCAAATTCCCCGATGTCACCATTCGATTCGCCATTGGTCCCGTCACTGTCATAGAAGACGTTATCATCTCCCGCCTCGGGAGGTGACGGGAACGAAGATTCAACTTGTGAAAAACTGCGCTTTAGTCCTGTAAAAAAAAAAATTATGACAGTCCAGATAAAGTTGGGCTAAGTATTATATGAAACGCGTCGTGCAAAATAGCTTAGTTTATTGAGGCCAAAACATCCACTTTAATGACTGGTAAAACCACTAAGTAGAAGGAATTTTGCCCAAATTGCATGCAAGAATGAAGATTGTCATGGAGGTTTCTTCACAGGGTTTTGTATTGTTCACAACTGTTAAATGTCGTTCAGAAAACACTGTTTTTGAATAACATCACCTCCACCAACGCCCTACATAATGATCGAGATTCCATTCTCTTCACTTTCAAAAGCCAATTGTCCTAATACCACGATCCTATACAAATAGAGAAGAATTTAAAATACAACATCTTTCTTAATAGAATAAAAAAGGAAAAGACTTTCGAAAAATCGAGAGCAAGTAAGGAACATTTGCAGCAGGTGCTCTTTTATCACTGTTTTTCTATGTGAAAGACTGAAGCGAGCATTAGGGACCCGTGAGAAAGTTCCTGGTGATCATGTTTATATTACGATAAAGTAGAATGTTTTAACACACTGTATGATTAGTTGTTGAATTCACCAAGAGACTATAATTTGTTAGTTCAATATTTTGCGAAAAGATTACGCACGGTAAACAACGCCCTGAAAAAGTAGTTTGTTTCGCGATAGTTCGTTATGGTGGCGTTTATGGACACTCACGAAAGTATTTTTGCATGGCCGTTGACTCTGATAGAAACTAGTAGACCTTTAAGGGCTAAACTTGAATTTTTTAAGTACAAGGGCAGTCATTTTTCAGACGATTTTCCAATGATCGATACTTTTTTATTTAGCCGTAAAATTACGTCTATCCATAAAATATTTAATATGTTTGTCCCCAATAATTTTTAACTTGTAGTTCAGTTTAAATAAATTGAACTGAATACAGTGGAACCCGGATATAACGTACGATATTCTAGATTCCAGGCATAGTAAAATACGCGGAAAGAACCGGCCTCGAAATTGCAGTCCCTGTCGAGGTTCCACAGTAACAACTTTTACTGCATTTCTTGAATTAGGAAAAATGCTTTTTTGTATTAGCGAGCCAAGCGCTTAATACGTCTCAGTACAATTAAAAGTAAATTTTGTTCTCTGAATCAGTGTCATGAATTGTTCCTTCTCACCAGGTTTTTCTCAGACTGAGAGGTTCTCAGTGCTCTCATGATTCATGGCCACAAATTAAAATAATGAGCATAAAAAAAAGACTTGTTTTGCTCTTTTAAAATTTTGAAATTTGAAAAATAGTCCTTTTGCGTGTGAATCAGACCCACAAAGTTCTCCGCCAAGACTAGTTTGAAATATCGTAAATTTACGAAGCCTTTAAAGCAATGAGTTCCCAGAGCAGTCTGAATGAAAACAACTGACTCAAGCTCAAACAGTCCGGCAAATCCCAAGATTTTTCTCAGTTGTTCATGAAAGAGAGTTGGTGGTGAAAATTGGCGAGACTGAAGTATGGGCTATCAGGAACTGACTTTTGTATAGTTTGCTTATAATAAGTACTTTCAAGATCCTCTCATCTTGTTTAACCCGTTCAATAGATTGTTTGTCAGTTATCAATATGCAAGGGAACACTTTCAAACCTTAAGCAACATCTAGGAGAATATTAAGTTTTTAAAAAGTCCTTCAAGAGTACAGATTCAAGTTGCTTTTAAGAGCCCATGGCGTGCGTGCAGTCCATTTTCTTTTTCCTTCAACACTGTTACTTGAGTGAAATGATTTGCAAAGCAACCTGAAGCGCTTCAGCTTAACAACATCAAATCAGTTTTATAAAGTTATAAAGACACTGTTCCAAAATTCCAAACCAATCAAGTGTAGAATATTGTTGGTGAATGATCTAAAGTGGTTATTGCGACAAACAGTTTCGTTCATAGCAAACTGACTCGCTGTAACAAATCAGCATATATTCAGTACATAATCAATTCAATTGTCTCTTTACCCTGTTATACGTTTCTAGTTGTAAGCCTATGGATGAACTCTTCCACGTTGACTGTTCAAAGAAAGTTTCTTAGTCATATTTTCTTTCTTTATGCTAAAAAATATAAGGTTTATAAAATAAAACCAACTGTTAATTTCTTACCTTTGGGTGGAGACGGTGAAGTGCGACTGGTTTTTACTTCAGCTGTGCTCATATCCGCACGTTCGTCGGGAGCCGCGTTGTTATTAACATCAAACTGCACCGCCGTCGGACAAATGACCGTCGGTAGAGCATCGCTCACCCGAGGCGGTGATCGATACGGTACCGCACAGGTAGGCTCTACCGTGCTCACAACGTTTCGAAACCCAGCCGGAGGCAGTTCGCTGTCTTCGCGCTTGAGCGCCACTTGGGCCGCCATAAGACGCTGCCGTTCAATAATCAAACTGCATTTTGAGCAAGTGCATTCCCTCCAGGGACAGTATCGTTTATGTCCTTTAAGATACGCCGTTTGGCCGTGATTTCTACAACGCGCGCAGCGCGGAGCGGACACCGATCGAATGACATCCTGTTCGATTTGTAAATTTTCAGACATGGCTGCGTTCTTCTCGTTCAGAATCGCGCTTTAATCATTCGACACACTTCGCGGTTGCGACAGCTCCGACTGAAACTGTTAGTTTTACAATTTGCGCTTTTCCAATTAATTAACGTCAAACAGTTGATATATCACCCGAGGCATTTCTACTGTAAATGAGTTCTATTGTTTGGGATGCGAATGAGTCGCCTGATGATTGGCCAAAGTCGGCTTACGCTTCAATTGTTTCACATCATTGACTGGATCCCCTTTATTACATTAGTAGCTGTTCAGGCAACAAAGAACTAATTACATTTTCATGTTATTTGCGCATAAACTAGAAGTTTTTTTTTTCACGAAATTCTGTTTTGAACTTCACATAAGTTTAGTACGTTTTAACTAAGAGGAATGAGGACATCACTGGATATACAAACTCACCACTTAGCCTTTACTGTGGGCTTTTTCAATTTAAATGTAAATAACATTTCCTCTGGGTAATACTCTCATATTCAAAAGCATTTTTTTTATTCAAAAAATACGACAGCTTTTAGACATGTCTTTTGTACATAAACGTAATGGCAGTCTTTCCATTGTCGCGTTCACCCATTCTATTTTCATCCAGACAGAGGTCCTATTACGGATTTCTGCTTAAGTTTCAAAAGGAAAATGGACATCTCTTAGTTTCATTGAAAAGCTGTCATAAAAGCTTTGTTTAATTTCCGTTGAAGTAGCGACAATAGTAAACAAGGCGTCCTTGAACTCAAGTTTTATAATTGAACAAGATGTTATTCATTCCTCACTGCCCGAATTTAAACTGAAACAGATGAGTGCTTAAGTGGGAAAATAAAAACGAAAAAAAAAGCTTGAATACTTGAGAACTAGAAGTGATCTCGTTTGCTTAAATTTTATGGAGTTTACTTACCCTCTTCTACACAAGTTAACATCCATGATCATATTTTAACACCAGATTGTCTGGAAGAACTGAATACACTGAATACAGTGATCGCTCTTAGATGAAAAGCCTGCACCAGCCGATTTCTCAGGTACACCGTAGACTGAGATCGACGGTTGGGCGAAGTTATGATGCATTTAGCAGAGGGCTTATAATTATTAATTAGGGACCTCAATATCCGAGGACGGAGACATCGCTGAAAAAGTGAATTCCCGGCCGTTTATTCAATTCTGTCAATCTTCATCTCGACAGTTCCAACTCACTTACCCTCAACGAGGGTAAGTGAAAACCATATCCAAGTTCACGGGAAAAAAAAAAAAGAAAGAAAGTTTCGTAGCAGCTTGTTTACGTCCTCCATATAAAACGTGAAATTAAATAAGGCATTTTCACGTCGTAGTCGTGTAGTGACGGCAAAGAAATAAAGTGTGCGGCACATGCAAAGTGGTTGTTTTGCTAATCTCGGATCTTAAAGTCCCTATATTAAAACAGCTAGGAAAAATTGAAGAGATTTCACCCTCAGCTATTAACTAAAATTGACCAAGTCACCATTTTAGTCGAACAGACAAATATCTCACATTGACTTTTTAATTTCTTTGAGTATTATGCAAATCTTTATGGTTTTAAAGATGGTCTTATTTGTATTCGAAGTATCCGGATATCGTGTCCGATCGCAGACACGATGGTGTCCGTCGGTTTTCGTCGGACATGAGCAAATTTCAAATGGATATTCCAAAATCAGTTTGGACTCCTCGTGATAATTATATAGCGTAATATTCCTCCAAGAGAGCCTATTTGTATAAGAGAGCGCTAATTGTACGCTAGGGAAAGAGTTAAGTTTAGGGCTTAGCGCTGATCTACGACCACGTGGTAAGAGCTAGGCGTTGATTTAAAACGGTTAGCATTAATTTCAAAAAATTATTTGGCTGTTAGCCGTTGATGCCTTGATGGCATAGTGCTTAAGTGTGTGGATCATAAAGTGGTTGGTTCTAGGGCAAATCTAGGATTCAGATTTAAGGTGGTGCCAATAAACGAACGCTAAAGCGGACCGATCAGAGTACAGTCGAGCCTCCACTAACAGCAGGAGCCCATAACCCAGAGCGAGCAACTTCCATGCACACGTGTCAAGGCGTTTTCACGGACCACTTTATTTTCAGAACGGTTTTAGCGCGAATTTTGAATATCTTTTAAATTTCACAAACCAGTCAGCAAAACCGACAGACCTAAAAATGATATTTTTTGCTATTTAATAACGTTTAGTTTTCCTTTTTGATATCATATACTTCGAATACGCTCATACTATGGTGGAGATTCTATTTTCAGGGGAAAAAGTGCCCTAAAATGTGCCTAAAAATAAACTGGTCAGTAAAAATGCCATGACATCGGCCTAGTATGGGAGTTGCTCTCTCCGGATTATGGGCTTCTGCTAACGGCCTCCATTTATGGCGGACAGTCCATACATTGTCCATTCTTTCTTCTGTTCCCAAGGTTGCCGTTGTGGAGAGGTTAAATTGTATCAAGGGGCGGGGTTAGTAAAGGACACAGTGTGCAAGACCCCTCGAAAAAATTTAAGATTTTAGTAGGCTAGGAATTCGGCTGGGCCGGGGAAGGGGTAGTCTCCCTCGCAGCCGTTTTTTGAATGTCACGCAACGCTCTCCCAAAAGAACTTTTGGGGGAGCGTTGCGTGACATCCAAAAAACGGCTGCGAAAGAGACTAGGGAGGGAGCTTTTATCGGATTCACGAGTCATCGTGTTCAGAGCCCCGAGGCATTATATATTCACTTAAAGGTGGATTTCCACAATGGCGTAATTTTAACGTGCGACCGCACGTAAATTTTACGGACGTAAATAAAATAGAGACAATAGGGAGCTTAAGCAGCGACATTTTTGAGCGACGCACGTCAACCGGAAGTGGACGTTTTGCACTCTTGAGCCGTGATTTTAAACAAATTTTTGGGCAAATCGTCTCTATAAGAATTAAGACACTTGGCAATACAAATATGGTAGCGTCAAGGCTTATTGAAAGAGGAAAAGGCTCACTTCCGGTTGACGTGCGTCGCTCAAAAATGTCGCTGCTTAAGCTCCCTAATGTGTGGAAGGTCACGAGTACACGTACAAGTTGAATGTCGCTCAACTTTTACGGTAACACATGGCCTAGCCTTTCATACATCTCCTCTTTCTTATTTCCTCAAGTAATAATTACGCGACACTGAAAATCCTCCTTAGTGCAAGACGTTTAACTACGAGAGTAAAAAACGACTAATGGATTGAAATTATCATCTCAGTGTATGACTTTTTTATTGGCTATTAATGAAAAGACACTTTAAATTAATCTACATAAAAATCTATAAATATATTCTTTTACTTATCTAATAGGTTAACTTTCTAAACTGGAACTTTAACAGAGGAAATTTGAAGTTGCCATTGAATGCATAACCGGATAAGGAGCTGAGAATATACTTAAGAAAAGACGTCCAAAGTACCAATGACGAAACCTGTTCCGACTAAGCCCGCCTATACAATCAACTCTCCCCAAATGGGGTCTGTATCACGAATAACTACCTCAAACAGGCACCTAGCAGTTTTTCAGTCATTTTTATAAATTCCATTTATAAAGAGGACGCCTGTTTCAAACAAACACCTTGTACCATTCCCAACGCGTCTTCCGCCTTGGAGAACCGGATTTTGACTTGTATATTTATCTTTAACAGCAATGCTGTAACTGTTGCCAGAATACGCACTCTCAACATTATCACCGTCTTAGTATTGTGCTAAAATTGTTTAATTATTAATATCACAAATAAATCAGCATTGCTACGTCCCACATTTATTTTACTTTCCTGTTGTAGTAAGGGCTTAATGCAGTTTTTCAGGAATGTCTTGGTGTTGGACGGCTTTCTGCGCAGATTTAGTTTTGAGTATTGAAAGCGCTCCTTTGATCTAAATTCAAGTTTTTTAAAACAACAAGTTACCATGGTTACTCAGTGCTTTAATTTTTACTTAAGTCAGACAGTTTTAAAAATCCTTATAATTGTTTGCAATACTACAAAAATTTACCAATACCCTAAGATTAGAACACATTTATTCAAGGTTTCTTTTTGCAATGAGTCACACATCGTCATAGCTTTTATTTAATAACAGTTTTGACTAAAAATGAAGGAATTCTCGGAGTCTTAGACAGGAAATTTTTACACAAAACCGCTGAGTAAAACCAAGCTGTTGCTGCATCTACCATTGGATAATTAATGAATGAATTAGATACAACACAATACGGCTTGATTGCCTTTCCGATACCATTTTTGTTGTTCTGATTTATATAGGCCTTGGATCGTATATGTAGCAATCTGATACCGTACGCTTAACGCCACCTAACCTGCTACACTAACTTGATTGTATATATTTCTCTGATATGAAAAATACACTTCTTTCGTAATAATGAGAAGATTGCTTCGATAGACGGTAGGTCGCAACAGCTCTTTATTTGACCGCATGTAGCTTAATTCAACATGTTGCACTTTCAGCGGCAAATTTCTATCTAAGAAACTAGACTTTGGTACAAGTTCCTACATTACCGAAATTTTCAAAATATTTCCATCTTCAGATGCTGTCCAAACGGCTTTTTACATGCTATTATAATATAAATTTTACAGGAATGAAAAGAAAAAATAAAATAAAACAGTGAAAAAATAAAATTGTCCATCTGTACCTTCGATGTATTAGTTTTTTGGATCTGATTATTATTATCATTTTTGTCATGAGACAAAAAATTTCATTTTAATTTCGTTGTCGTTGTAAAATACCCAGGAACAAAATAAGTGTCTTTGGTATTCAAATGTACATGACCTGACAACTGGGAAAAATTGGCAAGAAGGAAATCTCAAGTAGGGCATTTTTACATCCATAGTCAAATTTGTTTGATACCCTAAAACACGGTCCTTAAGCTAGCATTCTAAAGAATAGTTATCGTGGGGAACCACTTACACAATTAGGACATGTAATTAAGATTTATGTCATATTTAAAGTCTATGTACCTTAGTAATGAACAGCGTAGCGATGATAAATACCCCTATGTATGATACTTGTTTACAATACATAATATAATTATGTAACTACCCAATTTATACAACTCCCTCTCATTAATTGTATCTACTCTATAATTTCAGGGTCATTCATTGATGCAACTACTGGAAGCTTGTCCACTTTACTTAGCAAGTTATCTTTGCGGCACAATTTAAGGTTTTTCGTCTGTTTCTGTTTTGGGTGAGAGAGGAGGGGAAGTTTTGTCGCGGTCATTTCTCAGTAACACACGGTCTCCAGAGAAAATTCGTCCGGTTGAGCTCATGGTCATGAGGGCAGCGGTTGCCGACCGCATACTCTGACTGTACCTCATGTCTTCAAGGTGTGGTAGTTTTGTCAACCCCGGAATTGTCGATAACGGGTTCGGGTTGTGCTCGGAGATCGTCGGTTTAAAAGAAATAGGCACATCCGGGGTCGATCGCTTTGTGGGATCTTTCAGCTGGTTTAATGTGGCAGACAATGGACCAGGTCCCGGATAATAAACACATCCGGGACATTGACCGCTTGTGCACTTGGAAGCGGCGTGATACTCCACAGCACTCAGTGGTATACCGTGCGGAATTGTGGGAGAGAGAGGAGAGAAGGCCGAGTAGCCAGAAGGTGGCGGTGGTCCTGGGAACAGACCACGTGGTACACCAGCCAGTAGTTGTCCTCTAGCGAGTGCTTCTTCGTGGCTTGGAAGAACTGTCTCTATAGTCTGAATCACATCACCTCCGCATCCCTTTAAAATTAGCTCCAAAACGTTCCTTTTCTGCTCTGGAAAGAGCCGAGTCAATATGTTCATGTAACGACCATGATCTGAAGTTGACATGACTTTTCCCTCGCCGTTAGTCAGAGAAATTTTATCCGTTCTTTGTCGTTTCGTGTCTGCTGGCGACATTCTCATTCCACCTCGTTCCTCGTCTTCTTCATCTCGTTCCCGTTTCCATCTAGAGGGATTACTCTCGCTTGTGTTATCCATGGCGAATTCTGAAAACGAAAATATAACGGTGTTCAGACTGTTTGTACAAGTTATTAAAAATGCTCGAAAAGTTTAACTTCATTTGAAGTATCAACAATTAGCCAACAGCTATACCAAATTACAACAAACTGGAATTGACAGATTTTTAAAATATTTACGTCCAAAACAGCAGACCCAAGGTGCTAAGTATAGTAAACAAATCGCACCCTCTAAATGTCTTTGTTGTAAAATTAAACAGGAGCGTTTGCATCAATATTGTTGTCCTAGACAAGTGGCCAGCTTGATAAGAATGGCAGGTCTATTTGTTCAACTTGCTAGCAAGTTTGGGAGACTGATAAAGTATGGGCAAGCAAACACACCTTGTTAATTTTAACAACACGAACTAGAGTAGTTGAGTAGATAAGTATCGAACACACCACTGAGCCAGGTTGCATATCTACCGTCTTCGAATAGACCAACAACCTGTGCCGTGCAATTAAAGTCTTTCTAAAGATAACTTTTGTAAGAAAACGAAATTACTGGCTCTTAAAACTAAAATACACTTAAATCAAAGTAGAACTAACTAGCTTCGAGTAAGAGGAAAGAACGCGTGTTACCTTGTAGTTAAATCGAAAACAAGTTTGATGAGGAAAACGGAGCAGCCGAGTAGAATTGCGTTCGTGACCTACTTGATCCGATGTGATGTCTCGTTTATAAATGCGTTTTAATTTATGCAAATGAAGGTGTAAAACAAAACAGAGAAGTTAAAATGCACGAACACGTTTATTAATTGATGAAGCCTTTGTAGAGAAAACGGAAGGTTGAGCCTAAGCTGGCTCGGGTTATTTTATATTAAAGAAAGTTACTCTCGTTTATGTTCCGTTTTGTAGCCTCAACCTCTCACTGACCTCTTTTTCATCTTAAAATGACCAAACCATTTTTAAAAATTTTTTAAAATCCACTTAGAAAGGAGGCAACTAGTCAAGGCATTAATTCAAGCTGGTATAGCACCCAAAAGAAAAAGCTGGTTTTTCTGGGAGAAGGTAATGACGAAATTCGCGCAAAATTTTACACAGTCGTGCGAGTAGAAAAAAAGAATAAAAAAACGACAATTTGATTAATCTCTGAGTAGACCCCAGTGGAGACAACGCTTTGAGCTAGAGCTGCTTCCCGAACGTGCGCCTTTCAAGCAAAAAGAAAAAAAAATGACCCTGCTGGCATTGCCTTGAACGGGAAATGCCACATAATTGAAAGAAAGCACTTTCTCTTGTTTTTCAAACAACAACGAAATTTTTAAGACTTATTTAAAGAAGATTTTCATCGGTAGTACAAGATTTTAGGCTAAATCACAGAAAATTAAAGGAGATACACTAGTAAATAATTTAATAAACGAGCTAAACACTGGCAAGATAAAAAGTTAATCAGTTATAGCACAGTCAAGGGAGACTGAGACGAAATACGTGCAGGCCTCCGCGGCTTAAAAGATGCGATGACCAGGATCCAAAACCAGCAAAACTACTGCATATTTGGTATCCTTCAAAAGAGATGCAAGCTTCCTTAACAGTCACGCACTGTCTTTAGCTAAATCTGTTGTCTAGCACTTAATGAAAGTTTCCATAGCAATTACAAATCAGTTTAATTGAAAGCACCAGGATCAACGACCTAATGAGGTAATTAGCTACCGATATCATCAATAAAATGAGGTCTCCGCTGGAAAGATGTGCCTTTTGGATCACAGAAGTTTTATTTTCTACAAAACATTTTGCGAGGTATAATTAAAAGTTCTATGCACGGGTCGACGCAAGAAAATACATTATGATTATTTAGGGTTCCATGAATTTTCCGCACGACAACCTTAAATATACCATAGCAACTAGTTCGCGATTGACAAGGAATTGTTATATTTTATTCAATAACTTTCTATTGTCTTGCATTTCGAAAGATTAAATATATCAATAAAACTGAGTTACTCTTTGGACGTAGCTAGATCATGTGTAGTGGAAAACCATCGATCAAAGATTGGAAAACCTGAGATCCGAGAAGCAGAAATGGGTGACTTCTTTCGAGAGGAAGGACATTTTGAAATTGTGAAATTAATTCTGGAAAGCGCGTGTGGCTTAAAAATCCCAATGTAAAAAGATATTTTTATATGCTGATTGCCTATTCTTATTCCGGGATATGAACTTACAAGTATCATAAATTTCGTGTTGCAAGTCCATAAGTTGTTGTCTTCACTCTATCACCCAACCGGACACCCCCGTAGTAAAAATATCTACACGGACTTTGAAATCAGTGCTATAACAAAGCTTTTTAATCTTTTATTCTGTTCAGTTTTGTACATGGCGTCAATCAAATTTTACGGGAGCGTGAAAACAATTATAATTGTCATTGGAGTATGTCGTCTCTTCAATGTCGCATATTACGCTGGTGCCCGTTATGTGACAATATCGCCTTTTTCTATTTAAATTATCAACTCTTACTGAAATATCAGCTATCTGATAGCTGAAATAAAGGATCTTTGGCTCTAGAATATTTTAGAGAGATACTTCACAATTTAAATGCCGCGCTTTGTTTTGAAATTTCTACCTGAGAAAAGCAAGTTTCTATATGATAATTACTAAAATATAAACTTCTTTCCTTTGTAAGCATCTTGTTGTTGGTTTTCGCTTCAAAAACGTGTTGGTTGTTTTGACTTGCGTTTATGTATATAACACGGAATGAGTGATCAATGTTGTCAGGTGTATTACAAGAATATTTTTGAATCTACTTAGAAATAAGCAGTTGAAAACAATTACCATTGTTAAACTGACCGAATTGAAACGTCCAACCCTGTGACTCCACCCGGAAAAATCCGCCTCTCTTGGCTACACGGGCTTTCTCACGTAGGCTCTCCGGCGGTGCGAGGCCACTTTTGTCTGAGTGTTTATAAGACTGAAACCAGGATTAATTCTGGTGCGATAATATGGTAACTGGCAATCAGCCCGACGGTAGAGGTGAATATTTCACTTAACACAATGTCTCGGCAGGACAAATCGTATGGCACCAGGAGCCATATTCATTTCAACCCCCATGCTTTCGAAATTTCTTTCCTCTGATTGGTCCATCAAAACTTGTTTGTAACATCTGCATGTAACAGTATTATTTCATTACGATTGTAAATGATTGTTTGACTCAGTAGTGAAGCGAGGAACTTGAATAATGTTGCGGTTACAAACGCTTTCCTCAAACAGCTGCTCAAAATGAAAAATCATAATTCGCATTACGGTGGTTCGGGATCGCTGCTTTTCCCTCTGTCGCCAAACCCTTGAAATGTGAGTGGAAAACAAAACACATGTCTTTTATTGACTTAATGACCAGCTTGCAGCACGTGCTTTAGAATTATTTGCGCTTAATTTGTTTGCTTACTGAGTTTTAGGGGTTCAGTTGGCCGACTGGTGACTTTTCATTGTCGCTAACAAAAATAAAAGTCGAACAAATGATATAATCATTTATTTTTCTCTTTCGATTTTTATTGATTATCTTCATCATTCGCAGTTATTGGTGCCTATAAATATATCATAAACTATGTCAATTTTTATTGGCAAGGAAAATAAACAGTTATTTGATTATTCACAATGCGGGCAAACATTTAAGGAGATGTCTCAGAAAAATTATCAAAAAATCAAAGCAGTAGGAACCGTCACCAAACTGAGTGAATATAAAAATAACTGCTCAAAACTTGAAACAAGGATTATTAACACAACAAATACAAAAGCAGGGAACGAAGTAAGGACAAACTTGAAGACGATTGAAAGGGACTGAAATTGTGGTTTTGAAAACTTGTTAGCCTAGCAGGTTTTAAAAGTTCATTTTGAAAAAATGCTTTTTGGTTTGACATAAAGCTGCATTTTTTTGCCATTCACAAGTACATTATCATGTTGCACGACGAAAACTGAGAAAGACGCGTGGCTGTATCACAACCCCTTTAAAATGGACCAATCAATAATGAAGTAAGTAAACTTTAACTAGTGGTCTACCATCAATGCTGCGTTCTGATTGGTTGAGCTACTACTAGGCTTGTTATAACCCACTAGAAGCGAAAAGCGCCGGCTTTGGACACCAAAACAATGGCGTCTGAATCGCGTTTGCTAGCTAAAGCTGTTTTGTCTCGATATTTTTGACGAACTAGTTGGATTTTACTAAAACAATTATTCCTCTCGCCCTCATGGCCGCTAAGTCAATAGCCCATTCGGGCTCGAGGAATAATTTTTAAATAGCCTGCATAAAAGACAAGAAAACTTGTTAGAACAAGTCGGTTCATAAGAAATGGCATAAGGTTAAATTTTGAGAAAATCATTATATGACTTACATGCATTCTTGAGATTACGCTCGACATTGAAAACAAATGATCTGAAACGACATACTTATCTTGGCCAACAATGTATACCGTAATTGAACTGAGCTACAATAGAATTCAAAAATAATGATTTTTTTCACGATTTTTTTAAGGTGACTTCTGCAATGCGAAAAAGGATCTACAAGGAAGAGTTTATTGACACTCAAGCCAAACACGTCAGTTGTACATTTTTTCGACACCGGAGAGAATGAAGACCTTTTACACGCATGCACAGCTCGAGGTGCCCGTTGGTTAGCCAGAGTTGTCACGTGATTTCTAACATGAAATTAATTTAGGGTGAATTTTTGAGGCTCGGAGCCTATTGTTATGCAAGATAGCTCTATGTTATTAGCTCCCCTGTTTTTTTCTCAGTTGTTACACCAATATGTAGCTGATTGTGTCTCACATTTAATAAACATGATTACGTTGGTTTCGAGGTCGATGATTAATGAAGATTGAAATAAGTTGCCTTAAAAGGTTACAAAGTAATAAATCATGAAACCGCTAAAGGGTGGATCTATCATGTACGCCGGTGAGAGAATCACGGAAAAGGCGAACCATAAAACCGCAGAAGCCATTTCTGGCATTTTTTCTAAGCTGACACTCATGGTTTATATTCGACATTGACTTGTGTGGATGATCCTTCGTGGATGTGAAAGCTAAACCGTTTGCTTGTTGAAACAAGTTTCTAAGAATTTCAGATGCCATTAGCGGCTGAATCGAATTATTCAATTAAAAATAAACTGATCATGTATGTAACTTTGATACACTGATAAAAAAAAGTTTTCTCAATCAATCAGTTGCGGTTTCGACTGCAAAACAAGGGAAAAAATTGTGTCTTTCCTAGCTGAGGTCAATAAATTGGAGCAGTTCTTCATTCAGTACTTGTTTCCTTGTCTCCGGTTCAACCACGGCGGTAGCAAACTCTTTTGTTAATTAGGTGTAGGGTAGTAAGTCGGGCTTTTTAAGTGCGTTTCAAGTGCATTGGAAAAAACCCTGGAGGCAAAATCCAAGTGTGAACTAGAATAAATTTTAAGCCCTTATTTATACTGTCTATGTTTTTTTTTTTTTTCAGCCCGAGGTGGTCTTAAATTTTTATACGCTCTGGATGATTCAAGCCGTCAAAACATTCCTCTCTAGGAGTCTAAGTTTGAGACATGAAATCAAGTTATAACTTTGGTCGCTTTTTCGCGATACTTTCAGTTGGTACCGTTTTTATGAATGCCATACTATATAGCCAGTTACTAGATGAGCCCTTCACTAAATTATCAAAAATATATTATTGTGAACTGTAAAATCCGCGGAAACTTTTCAGACTGACAAATCTCTTCTTCTTGAGAATCTACCTAAGATACAAATACTAATAATTCCGCTACGGAAGAACCATTTCGTCCGAAAACACCACTTTTGTAAAAGAGATGGAGAGGTTTAAAATCTGAGAGGTGAAACCTACCTTCATTTGCGCTGCTCGCCGGAGACGCAAGACCGTTTCCTATTTGTGTGTCCTCGTTAGGTGAACTTGAGCGGGAAGACGTGCTTGTTGTTCTTACCAGTTGGCCTTGTTCATAAGGTGAGGTGGGCGAGGTAGGAGTAGATCCTGAGGTTTTGTGAACGTTCGGGGGAAAACAATACGGAACCGCATTGTATGTCAAGTGACCACTAACCTCGTCGCTCTCTTGTTGTCTTCGTAACGCGACTTGGGCCGCCATGACTCTCTGTCTCTCTGCGATGAGATTGCAATCTGAGCAAGCACAATCTCGCCATTTGCAGAATCTCTTGTGTCCTTTGAGGATCGAGATGACACCATGGTTTCGACAACGGGCACATTTTGGTGATCGTTGAGCAATGGACCCCATTGGTGGCATCGGAGTTGGCTTGATCTCCGTCGAAGAAGGCTGGAAAACAAAGTAGCACAGGGATGATAAATAGACTAGTCAATGATCAAGCAAATAGGAATGTTGCTTGCAAGCATTCCGCAGGCAGCACCTGAACATTAAAAGGAAAATATGGTCAAACACTAAATTACTATTGAAACAGCTCAAACAGGGCAATCGATGGCAGGAAATACTAAGGGACTGATCGAATTATTAACAGAAATTATAATTATGCAATGATTGAAGTAGTGGAGACTCAATACTTTCGATTCATGTTAGACCATGTTAGTTAGACGGTTAGGGTTACTAACAAAGTTATAAAGTTTTTTCACTTGCGATTTACAATATAACTTTAACTTTCAAAGACAAGGTATTACATAATACAGTTTGAACTACCATCCTACTCCGTAACTTTCCATCGAGCTTCTCTTCCAGGATAAGACCCGCTCAGTTTGAACCATATTAGATGCTCAAAATTCGACGACGACCAGTACAGCGAATTAGACAATTTGACACCTGTTGGGGCTAGGAATTGCGTTTCTTAACACGTTTTTAAGAACAAGAACAAACTGAAACTACCCTAATTCGATTCAAAACGCAACACTGAATTTGCAATAAAAAGATATGATCGTTAATCTTTAGCTCGAGCGATCGCTACAGTTTACAACTCAGCAATGTCGCGGTCATCTACCTTAACGCGACCAATTCCACTGGGTTAACACCTTGAAAATTGCTCTAACTTGTTCCTCAGTCAAAGGCAAGCCGTCATCACGAGCGAGGCAGACAAATGTACAACTGTTTACTACGGCGAATTCAATGTGTACTATTTTGGTCTAGCTTGCAAACTAAATTTAGACTTCTATAGAATTTATTTATAAGCTGAATTGGCGAGAAAAACGCTAGTTATTGTTCACAATCATTGCCCTGTGACGACCGAAAAGTCTGCTCGAGTTTCATTGATAACGTTCGACACAGAAATTTCTGGAGGCCCTTCATTGAAGTGAGGCTTACAAGAAAACGTAATTTAAGCCAAGAGCAAACCGAAACTTCTGGTGTCGCTACAAACGTGACATTTTTAAGTTCATTTTAAAAGTCAACAGATTATCCGACTGAATAAACATATTTTTATGTCAGAAACAATTTATTTCCCACGGTACTGAATCAAAAGTCTACTGTAAGCTAAAACGATTGTTTTTGCGTTCTTCAATCGAATTTTCGCAGTTTTACTAATTCTGAAAGCGCAATGGTCTGATTCAATGTTACAAATTTTAGTGATTTTCAATTACTTATTAATAAAGGAAATGACAGATTTGAATTACTTTGTCAGTAAGGAAACTACAGTACAAACTTGAAGAACACAGTGAAAAATATTGTACCCCTAACTTGTAGCTTGCTATTCATGTTTTAACTTAGGGGAAAGGAGTTTGGAAAGAAACTTTTTCTTTAGGAAAAAAAAAACAACTGAGAGGAACACAGTAGCCCAGTCGGGCATAAAAACAAAATAAGACAAATTCAAGCAAGAAGTCGAATTTAAAAGAAAAATCGAAAAAACAATCACATGAATTTACCGTAAAAAGCTCCACTTTGCTGGTGTAGTAAATACTTCGCTGTCGACGCTCTTACTAAAATTTTGCCACTTCTAACTGTTACTAATAACTACTAGCAAAGGGGTGGTCAAGGTTGAATATGAACATCTCTAGCACATTCCTTAGCCAAAATAAAGCAGGTATTGGAAGTCGTTGTTGCTATGACAACGTGAATAACCTGCAAAATGGTACATGTAGGCGCCAGCCGCAAGCCCTAGTGTTTGTATAGGCGGATTCCGTGTGTTTTCAATCTTCTTAGTACTAAAAACTTTATTTCCAAGCTTTGATAACCTTGGGGTCGTGAGAAAAGACAACACAGGAGTTTTCGTTGTCTTTTCTCGAGGGGAAACAATTACAAAGTGACGCATTGTATTTTGAAAGTATACGTTTAACGCTTGAAGGGAACCTGGCTAAAAGTTGTTAAACGAAATATTTTGCTAGGTGTGAAGATCTGTAAAGGACCGTGTTTAACTGATCGGGGATTCAAAAAGTTCTAGGATGAAAAACTGTTGGTAAGAAGCTACGAGCTGTGCAACCTCAAGATTTGCATTTTTTTCCCTCACACTATGTGTAGTTTACTTGGTTTTATTCGAAACAATTTCTTTGCCACAGTCAAATAATGCAACATTTATAAGTCAACGAAGTGTAAATAATACTTCAACAAAGGTCAATTTCGAAATAACAAAGGAAAGTTATGGATGCATATCTTACATAAACCTCTTGTTACTCGGCGGGATGTAGAAAGATATTGATAACTCAGTCGGCCCGTTAATAAAGTTTGTAACATTTGCACGTGGGCCCCCTGAAGAGTTAGAGAAAAAGGGACGGTTTGTTATTTTTAGACCTGAAAAACTTTGTTGAATTCATCAATGAAATAAAAACAGAGCTTAAGATTGTCCTGGTGTACGTTCTTAACTGACAACAGAGAGAGAGTGTCTCAAGAAATACCTCGACTCTTATCATTCCCCCGAATAATGTAATACACGTAAAAATATAGTGTGTTTGTAAGTGAAGGAACTTGACATTTATGTTACTAACAGTTTAATTTGTCTGTTCATTCCCCGTGTCGTTGCGAGAAAACAATCCTTTATATCCATTTTTCAAAAAGTGTCAAACGTTAGAGAAATCTGTCATAGCAACTTACCAGGAAAGAGGCGACTTCAAATAAACTGTTCAGGGCTGGTAAATTGTTTAATAGAGGTCCTTGGAGATTGGCATTGTGCAATTATTGTGACCTTGATTGGATCCTATCTGATTTGTTCTGGATTGTAATTTAGGCTTCAACGTGCAAAAGCTCTTTCACTTCTGACACAACATAAATAATAATATACTCAGCGTGAATCAAACCTCGTCTGATTAAACTGACTGGAGCTACACAGCCATTTTTAGCATTGACTGAAAGTTTCTTTGTGTTTAAAAGTTATTCGTCTAAATGGAGAGCTACCCACTGATCTTGAGCAATGCTACAATTCCCCATTGACGCAAACACGTGACGGGTGGTCATCTCCTGTCTACAACTTAAACCAAAATTAGATTTTTATACGCCTTTATTTAGCGCGATAACTCAGCCAATTTAAGATTTCGTTTAAATCTGCTTTGTCTTTCCTGTGAGACCCACCGTTAGGCAGGTGAAAGTTCGCTGGCCCTTTGTGCGTCATTACACCGCTTGTGCCCTCCTTTGAAGTAATTGAACTGCATTCAATGAACCGCCGAGCAAGTGTTCAAGAACATTTTAAATATTTAAATGAAGACGGCAAGACGCCATCAAGGGAGAATTGGGCAATATTTCTACCAAAGTTCATTGCCATTTCTATAGTTCCATTAAAGTTACTTGGTTAAAATATCATTGGAGCCAAGTAAATAAAACAGGGAATTCGCTATGAAAGAACGCGAGGAAAGAGGTGTTATACTGTTAGTTGAACGACCACACTGAATAATTTCTTCCAAGAATCAAAACTTAAGTCATGAGTGACTTGAACTCGGGACTCGGGAATCGAGGCTCGTTTGATAGCAAGGGTTGGATTCTCTACGCTGAGAATAAAGAGACTGAGCATGCCTGAATTTACCAGTTATGAAATCCAACATTGACAGAAATCAGATCTTGTTCACTCCAAAGTAAGAGGGTATAGTTTTGAAAAGTGGATGCCAATAACAGTTTTATGTCAGGAAATATTGACAAACAAGAGCCATAATCTCCCATTATGGCTCTTGGGACAAACAAAATAGAGTTTGACAAAGGAAAGAAAAGTTTTTCAGTACCGAATGGTCAGTCTCGATTAAAGATACCCACGGCGCATTTACTTTGTTTAACCCTTCCACTGCCAGAGTGCTTGATGGAGTTTTGTAATGTGACTCTAACTTTTGAGTCTGTGGACAAAATCCTATGATGTGACCATTCAAATGAATCCTTTCTGCCTGTACTTTCACATGGTGCTATTTGTTTTTCAAAATTTCACAAAATAAAATTTGGAAATTTGGTCGAAATTTGCTTTTAGCTAAACTTGGCAGTGAAAGGGTTAAAACACCAACCAAATGCCCAAATTTAAAGTGACAAGTTTCAAAGAACCCGACTTTGTGTGAATCCATTCGAACCTTGAGGAAAACGACGGAGAACAGTTTTTACTTTCCAACTATTTGGACAATTTAGTTCTTACAATAGCAGCGGTTTAAGACTGTTGAAAAGTTCACAAATCTAAAAATAAAGCGTGTCATCCATCCGTTGTAAGGCAAATCCAATTGACCTATTAGAATTATATCACTTATTTACCTCGCTTGTAAATATTCTGTTTCCCTTCCGTTTCCGTAATCGTAGTTGGTCGAGATACAGCACTATGTTGAAAGAATTCGTTGTCTGAATTAGAAAACACGCGACACTTTTATCCACCAGCGATTCTTCTTTGCGCTTCAAATTTTTTTCGGTCTATGCAAGGCTATTAACCGGAATAAATGTGCTAACTTCTAGCTTGAAAAACAGACTATAAACACCAGAACGCTGGCTGAACGATTTATTTCTTATCTCTTCAACCATAACCCACGCTGATTCTCTAGACGTTTCTCCTTAAACATGAAGCATTTAGCCCCACTAGTTGTGTATTGATGTAAGATGAATTTATTCCTTGATTATCACAAAGTGAAAATGAACATCTTTATTCTTTATAGAGTAACGTAAACTGCTTGATAGATCTAGAGTAAAATTTCAGAAAATTGTCCACAAAATTAATCTTTGAGGCAGCCGCAGTTTGCGGCTAGACTGTTCCTCTGCCGTCCTTAAATGTGTATCATCAAATACTGACAAAGGCAACACTCTATCTACACTAGCCTGTCCATGAGAACAATTCTATTATTGCTTATAGTTAATCCTAGGGCCTTATAAGATCACCAGACTTTTATGCACACATTACTACATCTCATAGCCCCAAATCAGTAACCTGCAGAGTTACACTAGTA